TATGTATGTATGTATGTATGGATGTATGTATGTATGTATGGATGTATGTATGTATGTATGTATACATATATATGAGTTTATCGCTTTATGTAATGTATATAATTATTAATTATTCAGTTACAAAGAAAACTGAAACTACCAGAACTAGCGCAAAAACTGTTTATGTATATTTATCCAATTTTAATCAATCTTTTTGAATATTCAACGAACCTTTACAAAACGCACTAGCAGCTATAATGTTCACTCTTTTATTGATAAGTTTTTTTTAAATTTTTTCAATGTTTTTAAAAACATTTAAGTTCAAATATTCTAAATCTTCTTTATTGATAAAAATATCTAAAGTGACTTATCGTAATCACATTTTTTTCGAAAAAATAATCAATTCTAAAGATTTTTAAGTTTTGTTCCTACATGTTTTCAAGTCAGTTTGTGACTGTCAAAAATCTGCGCATGAAATTTTTTTTACATAGTATATCAGTAAATGAGCATCAATTATACACACACACACACACACACACACATATATATATATATATATATATGTGTATATAATTTATCTTGTACTATAGTTTTAACTCTTAATTTTTAATTTTAAATCATGGTTTTATTCCAATACAATCGAATCAATTTCAATTAGAAATTATATTTATATTTTATATTTTAAAATTGTATTTTATATTTTAAAAATTTATTAATATGTAACATTAGACATTGAAACGCTAACTAGAAAAGAATTTCCCGTAATATAAAATTGAGTTTTGAGAAAATAAAAAATCTAGAAGACAGCTACTTGAAATAAAGGATTGTCTTTTAGGACAAAAATACGTATAGTCATCGTACTTATAGTCAATCAGAAAACTTATAAGCCACTCTAAGAGACACTTTATTGATAAAAGAGAATTCAGAATATAGGCAAACAACATTTTGATGAAACAAAATGTTTATCAACTGTACATTTATAGTTTTTGTTGTTTTTTTATTTATATACATATGAATAAAAAAACAACAAATACGACCAAATACGATCATTTCTTTCTTAAAGGTAACGTTTTGATTTTTGTCAAATATATTTACAAGTTCCTTTCCTTTTGGTTGTAACAAAGTAATAATTAATACGTGCATACATACATATATACACGTGCGCGCGCATCTTTATTAATTTGCTACAAGTAGAAGGAAAGGAACTTGTAAATATCTGGCAAAAATCAAAATGTATCTAAGAAAGAATAATACTGTTCTGGTATATACGCATCATATGCGAATCCATTGTCAAAACACTTGCAAAATTATACAAAATCCAAAAGGTGAGCAACAATGCTAACAATGCTAACATGATGCATTTTGCGTTGCTTTACAATGCGTGATGCGTCTTTTTAACAGTCGAATGTCAGTAAAGGTCGGTGCAACAAGTTTTGCGTTCACTGACACGGCGGGGCATCGACGCCTCCCCGTCGACCGTCGACCGTCAAGACAAGGAGCGCCGACGGAGACGGCGAGAGAGGACGTCGACGGAGGCCAGCGGCGTCGAGATTGCGCGGCCACTCGACGTCGGGACGCCATCGTCGAAGGACGCATGAATATGTATACCGTCGCCGCGATTCAGCCGAATCAATTTCGATAAGACGACTCGTCCGCGACCCACACCGGCGCTAATATTTTAACACGGGACGTTGTGTTAACGATAAGGATGATGTCGTAAACGTTTACGCCGATCGCGTATCGATAGTCGTGGCCTGGTGTCAGTGAACTCTGGTGAACTTGAGTGGTTCTCTTTTCCGGCGAATTCTTCTACTTTGTCTTCACAGTGCCGATTCATCGGCATCGGCATCGGATCAACTTGGTACGAAACATCGCGTTTTTTACTAATTTCCTTAATTCTTTAATCTGTTTAACATATTATCACTCGATTTCTTTACTTTCTCTACTCAATGATTTCTTTACTTTTTATATAAAATTCGACAACTACAGTTGCAGTCATATAGATGAAAAGGTGATATTTAGCAAAATAATCAAGATAATCATTGTTCACATTAACAGAAATGGCTAGAAGAAACTACGTTTCTCAATTTTTTTTAATAAATACATGACTTTCTAACGAAACACAAACTTTTCAAAATTGAAGATATAAAAAACGATTTCTGTTAATTTACATTGAATAATGTTGAAACAGTAAAATTTCTCAAAAATTGCCTCGAAGAAGATAAAGATTGATCGATTTTATATAAAAAGAATATAATAGAACATATAAATACTATATAAATACTATATAAATACATATAAATATTATAGGAAGCTTTAATCTTCTTTTAAGCTTTGGGCTTCTAAAATTAAATCAATTTTGTGTGCTTTATGAAAAATATGATAAATCTTTCATATTATTCTTTTATTCTTCGGCACAAACATAAGTTATTGCTTTGCTTCTTCCCGTTCAAGTGTGGTAACGTTTAAAAAATTAACAAAACAACAAACAACAATAATAAAAGATTAAAATATATTCTGTAAATTGGTAGGCAGAATCTGTATATAGCAAATGGCGTTTTACGGAGAATAGTATATTAAGTTATAGATGTCAAATTTTTTTGCAATTTTTTTGATTTTCAAAAGATCTTAAACTCATATCTTTGAAAAAAAGAAAGAAGATTGATAAAGTCTCCCTTCCTTTGAATATCGACTTTTTTTCTGGACTGACTCAATGATCGGTGTATGCTATCGAAATGTCAAAATGATAAAAAAAATGCTGAATAACGTAGAAATTAAACGAGATGAGGAAAAACGAGTATACATAAATCATTGCGGAAAACAACCGATGTTGTTTTGCATTCGAAAATGGTATGTCACGCACGTCGCGGTGCGGCATACCTCATGCAATACAGGGCATGATGATTATTCAAGAGATTCTTGCGGGACTGGACGATATACGTGCGATTAAAATTATAACAGATGTGACGATGTTACATGAACTTTTCAACTTTTTATATTTCTACATATAGAATTACATATAAGCAACTTGATTAATTTGACTTATCGCGCTAAGAGCGCGATGAAAGAGGAAAATGCAAAATTGTTTGATTGTTTCAATCGAAGGAAATATGTGTTCCTTTCTTTCCCTTCATCAATATTACACACATATATTACATTACGCACATACATTATATATATATATATATATATATATATATATATATATATATTG